GAATTCGAAGAGAAATAGAAAAAAAACTAAGGAGCGCAAAGGAAAAAGGGAACAATAACGAAGAGATTGGTGTAAGGTAGTGTGGTAGTAATGAGGGAACGGAAAGGTACAATCGGAAGAAATCTTTCAGGTAAGGGAGACACAATCACTTTTTGTGAAGAATGTAAGAGAAGGTTACAGCAGGATCGCCATTGGCTTCTATTCTGAGCCATATCTGATAACGTCTCTAGCCACTGTGTAGCACCATCTCTCGGACCCCAACCAGGGAGTCGTGAAGGACCAACAGAAGCCAGCCCTTTGCAGCTTTCTTTCATATCACGACACTATGTCATGCACTGACCACCTCTCCGCTTCTTCCAACCAGTCCCAGAGTCGGCAAATAATGCACGACGTGGAATTCTCTGGGACGACATTCGGAGAACATGTCCAAGCCACCGAAGTCGGTGTTTCAAGATGGTGACACCAATTGCATTATCGTCTCTGTGCCCAAACACACGATGCCGAACCTCTGCATTACTGACATGATGTTGCCACTGGATGTCAGCAATCCTTCGGAGACAGCGATGATCGAACACAGAGAGTCGTCTAACGTCCTCAACTCGGAGAGACCAGGTTTCACAAGCATAGAGCAAAACTGCTCTCACCGACGCGTTGTAGATCCGACCTTTTACAGCCAGACTAACATCATGAAGGCGCCAAAGGTGGCCCAGATTGGCATAAGCCGCTCTGACTTTCACTATACGTGCATTGATCTCATCACTCACACCCCCACCAGCACTTATGCAGCTACCCAGATACACGAACTTCTCGACTACGTCTATCTGCTCACCATCCAGGGTGAGTACAGGATTGGAATCCTGCCAGTCTTGTAGAAGTACTTTGCACTTCGAAGGTGCAAAGCACAAACCATACCTACGGACACTGATTGCCAACTGATTAAGTGCGGATTGCATGCCTTGGGCATTATCGCACAGTAAGACAATATCGTCCGCATACTCAAGGTCGAGAAGTCTTTCTCCAGGCAACAGATCCACACCACCATTACTTACATTCATCAGAGCTGTTTCCAGAATGTCATCGATGGCAAAGTTGAAGAGGAATGGTGAGATTGGGCAACCCTGCCTAACCCCACTACTCGAATGGGACAATGGAGAGAGGTGGTTGTATGCCCTCACTCTGCCTGAGGTGTTCTTATATAAAGCTTTCAGGATGTTAATAAACTTCTCAGGCACACCCTTCTTCAATAGATAATCCCAGAGAACAGTCCTGTCCAACGAATCGAAGGCAGCCCTGATGTCAAGAAACACTACGATTGTTGGCCTTTGATAAGTATGACGGTGTTCTAACATTTGGCGAAGGGTGAAGATATGATCAATACATCCTCGACCAGAACGAAACCCAGCCTGTTCCTCGCGAGTCAATCTTTCTCGGGTTTTGAACAACCTACGAAGTATGACGGAAGCCAATAGCTTGGACGCAATCGGAAGTAGACTTATCCACCGATAGTTGTTACAGGAACGACGTGAACCCTTTTTAAAGATAGGGACAACTATCGACTTATTCCATGACGTTGGTACACTCTCTAGTTCCCAAACCTTTGTAAACAACGTCATCAATTTCTTAGTCAGAAAGTCACCACCATGTTTAAAAAGAGCCGGAGGTAAGTCATCTGGGCCAGGTGATTTGTAACGCTTCAAAAGTTGGAGTTCCTTGCGGACTTTTGCCTCATTTGGTGGATCAGTCGTCACCAGCCATGGAGGGCAGGACAGTCTGACCGATGTTGCCGGAACAGCAGGCCAGTTGAACTGCCCTTCGAAATATTCTGTCCATCGTCCAAGACGTCGATGGATGTTAATTATTGGCATCCTATCATCCTCGCAGATTGTTTCGCTCACACCAGACTTCTTGCCGCCATAGGCTCGGATGAGTTGGAAGAGCTTCAGGTAATTACCAGATGCCGCTGCTGCTTCCAGCTCATTAGCGCGCTTCGACCACCAGGTTTCTCGGTCCTTAAGCAAGCTTTGCCCAATTTCAATACGTAACATCCTTCGTTTGTGGTCAAACTCACGGTCACCCGGAGTAGACCGACGGGCTTCAATGAGTTGTAAGGAACTTGAAGAAATCCAGTGCTTATAAGCGGGACGTTTCGCAAACCCACAACTGACTGTACCCGCCATCTTCATGGCGTCATGCAATTGCAACCAATGTATAGACCAGATATTCACACTTCGTCAGGTTCTAGAACACAGACACACGTTCAGACGACCCACAATCGCAGTATTTCTCGACCTTAAGGCGACATTCGACTCTGTCGATCGTAAGGTTCTGTGGCAGTGTTTGTCACTGAAAGGAGTACCAAAGAAGTACATTAACCTTATAAAGGCTCTCTACTCGAACACAACTGGTAGAGTGAGAGCTTATGGCGAACTGTCATCAGAATTGATTACCTCAAGTGGTGTTCGTCAGGGCTGTCCACTCTCTCCATTCTTGTTTGACTTTGTCGTTGACGTACTTTTAGGGATAACACTCTCCTCATCTAAATTTCCAGGGGTTGAACTTCTACCGGGAGGTTCACTTGTTGACTTAGAATATGCCGATGACATAGTTTTATTTGGCGAAGACGCTGACAAAATGCAAAGTCTTCTGACCATTCTAAGCAACAATGCAAGCATGTTCGGGATGCGATTCACCCCCTCGAAATGCAAAATGTTGCTTCAGGATTGGGTTGCATCGACACCTGAACTAACGATATGGACTGAAGTAGTTGAGCGTGTCGATCGCTTCACTTATCTTGGAAGTCTCATCAGCCCTTGTGGTCTGGTATGTGACGACATCTCAGCACGGATACAGAAGGCTCGACTAGCTTTTGCCAACTTGCGTCATTTATGGCGTAGGCGAGATATCCGTCTACCAACCAAAGGACGGGTTTACTGCGCTGCAGTTCGTTCCGTCCTACTTTACGACAATGAAACATGGCCGGTAAGAGCAGAGGATATTCGTAGATTACTAGTATTCGATCATAGATGTCTTCGAAATATTGCTCGTATATCCTGGGACCACCGAGTAAGCAACTCAGCTGTTAGGAAACGGGTACTAGATAAGGATGGAAATCAATTAATGAATTAGTGAACATTCGTCAGTGGAGATGGCTGGGACACGTGTTACGTATGCCCAACGACCGACTTCCTCGACGTGCTATGTTCAGTGGTATAGGAGTAGGTTGGAAGAAAGCTAGAGGAGGCCAGACCAAAACATGGCACAAGTCCATGAAGTCACTGACAAGTAGACTGAGTCATGTTGGTAGGTGTAGACTACCTGGTTGCGATCCGCGGGATGATAATAACAACCGATGGTAAGAGACCCTGAATGACATGACTCAAAATCGTTAGCAATTGCGCAGGTACATCCACTCTTTATGTTCTCCCAAATTCTAATCTTCTGAATCCTTCATATCCCTTCTTTTTTCCTCTTTCCAAATTTATTTCACTGGACTATACTCCTTGAATAACATCCTTAAACCTTAATGTTTCCGATTACTATTTATACTCTTACCACTTCTACCACTATGGGATTTGAATCGACAACTGCATCTCTGTGCTAATGTGGTATGGCAACTCGAACTGATGTATGTACGTACGAATTTCCACGTTGTTATTGACTAACTGACTGACTAAAGTTCGGACCCACAACATGTTGATGATAGCAGCTTTGTTTTATGAGTGTGAGACCTGACCTCTCCGAGTTAAGGATTCCATGCGACTCTGTGTTTGATGATAGAATAGTTCTCTTCGATGAGCGAAATGGGGTACTAGATGAAGATGGAAAATCCGTTGATGAGGAAATGAAGCCAGCTGTATGTGCAACCACCCAATATTTCGGCGTGCAATCTTGGTTGAAGTAGGAATACATCAAAATTAGATGGAGGTAGTCATACTATAGCATAGCATCAGCATACTGACCTGTAAACTAATAAACTTTGTTAACTGCAAAATATCTGGTTGAGATGCACAATACAACCTTAATCGGGAGTTTGATGATATAATTTAGAATAGATGATAGTGCCGCTGATCCATTCACTCTTTATCTTTCTATAAGTCTTTAGTCCTAACATTTTCGTAACAAAATCACCATTTCTCTATAAAACATATTCTCTTATGTTTAATCGCTCTCACTAGCATTACTGTTGTTTCGACTACATTGCCATACATTTATCAGGTTTGATATCGTGATACTGAGCTTCCGCTCTAAGTTGTTTACGATTACCTGATTACTAAATGTATTCGTCACTATCTAATCTCTTTTATTGAACCTAGTTATGATGATAATTCTTCACTGTTACAATAAATTATAATGATCAACCTAATTTACTTTATTAAATGAAACTGAACGTTTTGTTCTTTAAAACACATGCAATATTCTAATCTATTAACACTATCCATTCAACTACATAATGGAACAATTATTTACACAGAGTTTTCATAACGAATTAGTTATAGTCAGTCAATTAGTCAGCTACTACGTAGAACCAGGCACATATATACATCGGTCTAAGTTGTCACATTTCATTAGCATACCAAATTCATAGAAGTAGTTAATTCAATGGTAGTAATATATAAAAGACTGCATATAAGGATATAGTACATGAAGAAAGGATTAGCTCATAGAAAGAAAGATATAAAGCAAATTCAACTTGAGGGTTTAAGGGAAGACAGTGTGTATACACCGACACCATCGTGATCGATTCTGAACTATATATCACCTAAAGTCTCCAACCATCGGTTACGATAGTCATAAGTTGAAATCATTCACTTATACAAACAACCATCTTTTTGTAGCCCAATTTTACTGTTTCTCATGATAAAATAGATATTGTTAACAGTTTATTACAAGGAAGTATCATTGACATTACTTGAGGGAGTAGGATAAATTAAGCACCAGAAAAAAAATGGAGTATTTAACTGATTAATTTTAATAAATAAGATGAAATGAAACAATCATACCTGTAATACAAATTTTGTATCGAAATAACGCTTAGCAACATTTGGTTGGAAATTCGGAGATTCAATGAAACGAAGTAGGAATTCATATACCAACTGGTACCAATGAACCAAAAAAATTATAGAAATAAAAACACATGAATTTAATAAAAGAATACAAAACATAAAAGTAAGGTCAATCATATACTGACAATCTCTCCTCCTTTTCCAAACACTCTCAGAGTCTGTAAATAATATATGATATGGAATTCACTGGGACAACATTCGTAGTACATGTACAAGTCACCAAAATCGAAGTTTCAAGATAGTGGCATTAATTGAATTACCGTCGCTGTGCCCCAATCCACGTTACTAACATTGTGTAGTCACTGAATGTTGGCAATCTTTCGGAAACAACGGTGATCATAAGCAAAGTCACTTTGAATCTTCAACACGGAGAGGTCAGGTCTCATACTCATAGAGAAAAGCTGCTATCACTAGCGCGCGACTTTAACAGCCCTAATAACATCAAGAAGACGCCAAAGATAGCCCAGATTGACATAAGCCGCTCTGACATTCACTATACATAACCTGACCTCATCAGTCATAACACCACCAACACTTACGCATCTACTCACATACACGAACTTCTCGACTACTTCTATCCTTCAACTAACCAGGGTGAGTGCAGGTTCAGCGTCCTACTAATCTTGTAAAAGTAATTTTCACTTCGAAGGTGCAAAACGCATGCCACACTTACGAACACTGATTGCCATCTGATTAAGTGCGGGTGGCATGGCTTGGGTATCATCCGCATAGTCAAGGTCTTTCTTCGTGTGATAGATCCATACCTCCATTACTTACGTCCATCAAAGCTGTTTCCAGAGTGTCATCGATGGCAAAGTTGCAATCCTACCTAACCCCATTGTTTGAATTAAACAATGAAGAGAAGTGGTTGTATGCTCTCACTACTCTACCTGATGTATTAGTATAAAGGGGTTTTAAAATGTTAACAAACTTCTCAGGTATACCCTTCTTCAACAGACAATCTCAGAGAACAGTTCTGTCCCACGAATCGAAGGTGGTCGTGATGTCAATAATCATTACAGTTGTTGGCCTGCAACAAGTATCACAGTGTTCAAACATTTGACGGACTGTGGAGTTATGATCAATATACCCTCGGCTAGGACGAAAACCAACCTGCTTTTGGTGGGTCAGTCCTTCACGTGCTATGAACAGTTGGCAAAGCATGATGAAGCAAATAGTTTGGACGCAAACGGAAACAGACTTACCCTCCGGTAGGTGTTGCACATGTGACGTACAGGTATCAATAGCAAAAATGAGGGGATAATCAAAGTCTAGATAAGTACTACAAAAAGAGTGGCAGTCATGTATTCAACCACGCTAGTGTTAGCTAATCGCAATTTAATTAATCTGAGTCGAGCTTTGGGGTGCAGTAGGAGGATGCCAGGTAGCAGCACATTAGCGATGACTGTGCCGATAGCTAGTGCTAACCAGAAACAGATTGAGGTCTGCTAAATTTACAGGAGATGTTCGTCGTTGTCTGATCTGAAAACAACGAGTCCCCATTGGCTGCCCAAACGACTTGTCCGTGTGCATAGATGCCTGACATGAACACTCGATTCTCAAGCTAGTACGCGTTTTGTTGAGATAGTCTAACTGATTACAGAACTCAACCTTAATTGTATCTGAGTTGCAATCTGTCAGCGAGCAGGTGGAGATAACCAGAAGAGATCGTTCCTCATACGGATTTCTCACTTCGGTGGGGTTTTTTAATGTAATAGAATGTGATTCACTGTTAACGGGGATCCTATCAATTAGTGTTGTCTCAGCTATGGCCCTTTTTGAGACACAAACACCAAAAAACCGGACGAAGATGCCACAGGGTTCCCAGAGGAACGCACGTGATACAATCTTTAGAAATAATAGATGAGTTAATGTGTAGTACTTAACCAACCTTGAATGCGGGTTTCAAATAGACAACAAACGTCGATGCTAGGACTCTATAAAGACAGCCAAACCTATGTTCTCTGATCTGTATTAGTATACGAACGTTGAAGGGGAGCTAGTTTGAATGGTGTATGTGATTTCAGAAAAACTGACTAAGAATTCGTATTCGGTGATAACATTTAACTTCCAACCAGTTAGTGACTTGATATATGACAGTCCACACTGTAGGCGAACTGTTGCGTCAGGCGAAAACAGTATGGAAATGATAAGAAATAACAGGGAAAGAAGGCGTAAAATCAACTTGCATATAACTAATTGGTCACAATAGTCGTTTATGATGGTAGTGAGAGCAGGTGAGAGCATCTACTTCATTGGTAATCATAATTTAGTAAGAAGATATGATAAATTAAGTAGTGTTGTAACAAGATGATTATTAATCCCAAAGAAAGTTACTCTGAATAATATTAGAATAGTAATGTTTTAATTATTGCCACTGCACTATTTATGTTGGTCGAAGAATACAATATGATCACAGTACACTATAATTGGATGCGTGGCAAATTGCATTTGAGTGGGGAAACTTTGAACATAAGTTTGGAGTTGATTGCAATTTACCCACAAAAAGCATTGTTTAACTAAAAAACTTCATACTGTACAAACCAAATTCAGATTCTTTACAACCAGATAGAAGCATTATTACTGAGTTGAAAAGTTACTACTAAACTATGTAAAATGGGATTAATTACTATAATTTATTTGAATGTTTCGTATAATTGTACAAATAATGAGGTTGCGCTGAAATTTAATAAGATTTGGTTATTCGAATGTCTGCCGTTGCACAAGCAGTTTGCCGCAAATTTTAGTACATAAACTTTCAGTTAGCAAAATATCAATCAGACAGAGTCGAGATACGTAAGTAGTTATCAATTCCCGATTATCAACACCATAAAAAATACATCTTCAGGAGTTTAAAAAGGGAGCTGCATTACAATGGTCTTAGAGACCTGGGGGTGTGACCACAGAGAATAAGGAAAAACTTATCGAGGCTGGTTAGATACGGTCTTTTCAGAGTAGTCCTTGGCCTTACAACTGGAAATAAAACGTGTGAGATAAGGTGAGGTATGTTATTTTCAGGACAGACCATTTCAAATTCCTTTGTTGCGAGAAAGTAGCATCGCCGTAGGTGCTGGTTGTTTGAGGGAAACTGCCTACTACTACCACTTATCAATCCGCAATACAACTTAGCTGTCAAACCTTAATCTAGCCTTACCATTCTCCAACTGACCTATTCGATACACTAGGATCTAAAGAAGAGAATTTTCTAGTCAATATATCCCGACTGGATGACCACGGTGGGCAAGCCTGACCACTGTGTCAATGCGACAGTTAGGATTGGGTGACTGGGACGAGTATTAAGTTAAAAGAGTGAACAAAACTTGAGCGAATGAACCGCTAATTCGCCTTTCTAATACACTTTTAAAATTAAAAATGTGATACTTTTAAAACATCCCCAACTAAAACTTTTTCGACAAGCTTACTTGTAAATGAGGCCAAGCTGCCTCCAATGTTGGCTCATCCTCTTCTGGATCAAATTCTGCACCAGATGGATTACTTGGTGGTGGTAATGTACGAAATAGGTTGACTTCAACCATTCGAACCACTTCTGGATAAATTGAATCTGTAATTATGCCGGAATTTTCAGTCAGATATTCAGTTAATTCGTGCAGAGCTGCTCGTTTCACCTCTTTATCTTTTAAATCGCTTAAAATATCCGGTACAAATTCAAACACAACTGAGCATTGTTTTAGTTTTTGAATAAATAGCTCCTCTCGCTTTTCTTGATTGTCAGAATCTGGTAAAATAAAATATACTATTTTAAACTAAACCAGATATTATAAAATATACTAATAGGCTGCAAGAAAAACAAAAATATGAAACGGTGATTTAGTGTAACAACATGACTGTCTCACTTAGCTAAAACAATAAATGTCACCAGTCCACAAAGTCTGACTTTTGGACTGAGTCGTCTTGATAGATAGCTGGTTATGGTACGAGCGATGCAGATATCAGTGGTTGCAGACGTCGGGTTATATGACTTATAACCAGGGGCAATGAATCGAATAGATTTGCTCTTTATCTCTTCAGTAGCTTCCGTATTTTTATTTTTTAATGTTGAACATTTGCGAAACGTATTTTCCAGTCTTTAGTCTTTATCAATGCTACTGCAATTATCTCGACTCCTTTGTTATACACCTTGTTAATTTCATCTCCTTATACTGATGTGTTATGTTCAGTCAGTCAGTCAGTCAGCTACAACGTAGGACCAGGCACATATGTGCATCGGTCCAGGTTGCCATACCTCATTAGCACAACAAGATGAACACCGGATTCATAGGAGTGGTTAGGTCAAAGGTTGCAATAAGGATATAGTATAGGAAGGAAGAATTAGTTCGTAGAAAGAAAGATATGAAGTGATTTTAATCTCTTAGTTTAAGGGAAGACAAAGAGTGTATACACCGACGCCATTGTGATCGATTCTGAGCCATGTCACCAAGAGTCTCCAACCATTGGTTACGATAGTCACGCGGACCCAAACCAAGTAGTCTGCATCTACCAACATGGCTAAGACTAGAAGTTAGTGACTTCAAGCACTGATGCCACGTTTTGGTTTGGCCGCCCCTAACTTTCTTCCAACCATCCCCTACACCGGTTAGCATTGCACGTCGTGGTAATCGGTGTTCAGGCATACGTAATACGTGGCCCAACCATCTCAGTCGATGAAGATTCATAACCTCATCAACTGATTTACCATCATTCCCTAATACCCTGCGTCTAACCTCACTATTACTTACCCGGTGATCCCAGCAGATGCCAGCAATATTTCTAAGGCATCTGTGGTCAAATACTTGTAGCTTACGGGTGTCTTCTACTCTTAAAGGCCATGTTTCGCTGCCGTAAAGTAAGACAGAACGGACTGCCGCGCAGTATACTCGTCCTTTTATTGATAGACGGATATCTCGCCTTCGCCATAGGTGGCGCAAGTTGGCAAAAGCCAATCGAGCTTTTCGAATCCGTGCTGAGATTTCGTCAGACACCAACCCATTAGGGCTGATCAGACTTCCAAGATAAGTGAAGTTGTCGACGCGTTCGACTACTTCACTCTCTATCCTTAGTTCAGGTGTTGACGCAGACCAGTCCTGAAGCAACAACTTGCATTTAGAGGGAGAGAAGCGCATCCCAAACATTCTGGCATTGTTGCTCAGTGCTACCAGAAGACTCTGCATTTTGTCAGCGTCTTCACCAAACAGGACTATATCATCTGCGTATTCTAAGTCGATAAGTGGACCTCCTGGAAGGAGATCAATACCCGAGAATTCAGTCGACGAGAGTGTTATTTCCATCAATAGGTCTATGATGAAGTTAAACAAAAATGGAGAAAGTGGACAGCCTTGACGGACACCACTTGAAGTTGCAAAAGTAGATGACAGTTCGCCATAAGCTCTGACTCGACTAGTAGTGTTCGAGTAAAGAGCCTTCACAAGGTTTATGTACTTCTGAGGTACGCCTTTCAATGACAGACACTGCCACAGAGTCTCGCGGTCTACAGAGTCAAACGCTGCTTTTAAGTCAAGAAAGACCACCATCGTCGGACGCCGATAGGTATGCCTGTGTTCTAGAACCTGACGAATGGTGAATATGTGGTCGATGCAGCCACGACCAGGTCTGAAGCCAGCTTGGTTCTCTCGAGTTTGTAGTTCACGAGTCTTAGTTAGGCGTCTGATAATTATGTTAACTTAGGTTGACTCGCATATATCCAAAGCTCTATATTATGACTAATAACTAAATTCTAGAATTTTAGCAAATATACCCATTACCCAATTTCGTATGGGATTCCAACAGTGTAGTCTACAAAATATAGTATGCAGCGGTACTGCATGAACCCAAAACTCATGAAAGAAAAGATTCGGCAACTTATAAAAGACTGATAACAGAAATAAAGTCGAAAATATGAGGAAGATAATTGTTAAAAACCAGAATGGAACTAAGTATTCCTGGAAATGTCCGCGCTACTCAACCAAACGCATGCTTATGAACTCAGCTACTGACTGGGTGATATTTAATGACTGTGATTCGAAAGTATAAAGTTACTGGATTACGATAAATCGCTAAATGGTCAACGACGAAATTCCGGTGGAGGAAGACGTCATCTCACACACACCACACTAATACAGAAAATTCAGAGTTACTTTACACTAACTTTCCGAAAGTCGGTTTCGAATTTTTTTAACCGTCCTCCCATACCACTGATTATACATATATCTGTATCCATAATTCTGATAAAAATAAACGATCTTCTGTACTCCAATAGGTGTTCGAGAAAAAAGACCATCCACTAGCCTTTCCAAAACGAATAATATTACTAAGACTATTTGTCACCTGGACTTCAGTTTACGTAGAAAATCCAGTTTTGCCTTTTATTGAGTTTTGAGGATTGCGATGCAATAAAATGTGCTCAAGATCATTGAAAATGATTGGGCAGAATATAAGTCTCTAGATAAAGGGCAGCAACGCGATGGAGTTAAGTGACAAGTGCTCACAAGACCAAATTACCAACTCAACCCATTTCGCTAATAAATTAGTTTCAAAGACCACTGGCTGGAGTAGTTTACTCCGATAAGATAACATGCTTATATACAAAGTATTTTCACAGAAAATATACATTAGATGTCCTAAGACATTGGAGGATATCAATTTTATAGGTGGCCTACACCAATGAATTAAGATCAATGTGCTATCTGTCGATACATATACACGAATGAAATTTCATCAAGTTTGGGGTCAACAAATGGAAATTCTAGATACGCCTTGGAGCATATAGCGTTACAAAATACGTTTACAACAGGGCTTTTCAACACGAAGCTGATGAAGTCTATTACAACACAGCAAACAACACAAAAACAGCTGTATCCTTAGAAAGTTTTGAAGAACTAGAGATACTTTCAAGGGCTTACGTAAACCCTATTACGACTACGAAGAACAGTAAATGCTCAGCATCTTAGTTTGAATGGTTTTAACAAGCCTCTCGAAGTGCTGAAACTTTTCATTACTTAAAATTTTATATTCTGGGTGGAGATACCTTACTTTTAATACTTTTTGCTGTTGAAACTGCTAAATCAGAGCGATTACGGCTTGAAGAAATTAGGAGAATGCGGAAGATTGGTAGATTTATTTTCACATGGTTGATATTTTACGAAGTCCTAAATCCCTAAGCTAAATAACCGACAGCACCGTGCCGACCGAAAAACAAATTCCTTAGCTGAGAAACAATACGAGAGCTATTTCTAGAAAAAAACTGTTCACTGTGTGCCTCTAATTACAAACATAGTAAAATAAGGATACCGAATAGCGGTGTACCTACAGACACGAACACACTATGAAGTGAATAAATTTAGATGAACGTTAAAAACTTGAGACACACCTTTAATAAGAGGTAAAGGATTAAGTTCACGACTCTTTGGAGCACCGAATCGAGAAGATGTATGAAGTTTTTCTTTTCTTGAGACTGTCGGGCCAGCAAGAGAATTTAACTTGATGAGTTGCGTAGGAGGGGGATGAGCTTCACCATGTGGGACCGTATGGTGACGAGGAGAATCCGATATAGCGATACTGTTTTGACATGAACTTTCCGTCGCCAACACTGACGTAGATGATACATTTATTTGACTTGATACGATTACAGAATTCCCGGATGCCATATGACTATGTGTGAAGTGTCTTATTGTAATTGGGAAAACCAGTTATGCTCTTAGTAGCATTAACCAACATGCGAACCAGCTCCGAAAAACGAAATTGCCGCAGTCACTAGAGTTCATTTTAGGCGCATTAGCCTAAAATATAAATAACAGTATAGTCACAAGCTAATCACAATTAAGAAATCAAAAATTAAAAGTTTTGAAAGTAATGAGACTATGCTTTATTGTTTAACAGAGCACTTATATCGAATTAGAACTCAGTGTAGATTCAAGGTCACATATTATGTTCATAGAAATCAGTCTGAGTGTATTGTCTCAGTTCATATTTACTCAAGTCATTCAAACACATTTGCTAGTAAACTAGTGTTAGCTTGGAAATGCCAACAATGCAAGCTGATTTTGATAGACTTGGAATATTCAAGGAGATGTCTTATGTTACTATACGTGACCAGTATGATAAACAAGATAGTCACCAAACTCGGTCAGCATTCAAAGGTAAACAGATGTATTGTGATGGATTTAAACTCAAGTCCGCAAATACGGATGGTTATTTTGGACCTTTCACGCGAATTTTCACTGGTGATAACAAAATCGATCTGGAAAGACTTATTAGAATCCAAAGAAAGGAGAGCTCAAAGAAAATAAGAGGAAAGGCTTGGGCTCCTCCGAACGGAACCCATCATCTTCTTGGCTTAGGCAGCTCTATAGATACTTTTAGTGGACCCATACCCTACTTTAGACCAATAACGAGGCAGAACAACCAAATGAAATCTCACAAGAAGAATTTTTATACTTCCCCAGCCAAGAAGGGCTGCGGCTCTTACATTGATATCACGATAGGAAAATATCCAAACTACAAGAGTGATCCTTATGATAAAATTAAAAAAACAAGTGCTAAAGAAAGCACATCATCTGGAAAACAGTTTTATCTCAACATGCATCCCCAGCAATACTTTGATAAAAATCCTTACCACCAAGTGCGTATTAAACGAAGGCCTTTCACTTCAACTATCAAAAACTCAATACACCCGAGATCTGTATTCAAACCGGCAAGTGCGTCAAAATTAATGGGTGGATGTAAAGATGGTTGTTTCAGCCCTTTCCCTCATTATACCTCAGATCGACCCAAGAAAACTGTCCTGGTAAAATATACCAAACCGCCACTCAAAATACCATCCTGTCCGAAAACATATCCTATCACTTCTATTCTAGAATTAAACGTCAAAAGACGCATCAATTCGTCTAACTATAAAAATTTTAAACCATCTGCTATCGACAGCTAGACTATGTTTCAGAGTGCAGTTCTGTAAGTTCGCAGTAATTTTTTATAGTCAATGGTTACCTACTCAATGAAGGTAGACCAAACTGACTTGTGTTTCATCTGTTCCTATAGATTTTCCATGGTATTACCAAGTAATTATTCATTGATTGCTGAGTTCTGAAAAAATGTTTTCATCTTTGTTAAACATTATTGTTTCCTTTATATTAGGCGTGCCATATTTCAGATCGTAATAATAGACAGTGCTTATAACATTTAGTTATGGGTTTGTACCACGGTTTTGACTCCGTGAATGATACAAATTTTGTACGAAATAGGAAAAGTTAATTCCCTTTGAATCTCATACATCATGCTTAGGCTAACCCCTCATTATATAACGGCAGTAATGAAGTCTAGATAAAAAATCGTTGTTAAAGGTTTACTACATACTTTCGTTTGCGCAGACGTACAGGAAGCTCAGATGAAAGCACCTTCGCCTACATGGTGAATAATGAGTGAATCGCTCTTTAAATGGGGTAGTTAATGTATGCAGTTGGTTAATTAGAGCATAGGTGACAGGCACTGATAAGGCTGACATTCACAAGGACATACATAAACGTTATTAGAATGGTTAATGATAAGAGACGAATGTAGAAAGGTCGAAAAAGGCGTAAAAGTGTTCGAATAACACGCCTAGTTGACATGGATGCTCAGACTACGTATGGATGGTTTATTTCTCCACATTAATTTTATTTATATTATATTCATATAAATACCCATCTAGACTTACTTCGTATAAGCGACTGAAATTCTACATAACAGAACGTGTTTCATTATACTCACTAGCTTATTTATTACTATGCCTGCTTTAGTGTCCAGTTGATTTGACTCCAGTTTGATCGCCTGTGCCGGGGTTAAGGAAATATGCATTACACCAACCTTTGTATACAATGATCCACTCAATTTGCGTGATAAAATAACGGAATAAAATATTTCAAATACAAAGATAAATTTTGGATATGTATATTTCGTACACTTGCAGACTGGTAAAGTAAAACATGCCGAATCGCAATACTACTCATTACAAGAATTAGTATAGGTCATAATGGCCAATGCATGATGTAGTAAGGAAACAGACGTTAGATAAAATAATGAGTGATATACATACATTCAAGAATCATAAGAGTAAAAGACATAAGGACATGAAAATAAGACGTTTATGGAATCAACAGAGTTATTATACATGTAAAAATGACTCAATTGTCACATGCTGTCTGAGTTATTAAGCCTTCTCAAAAGCTGGGATGATTTATGTCAGTGTATTTCGACTAGACACTAAACTGATATCACAAAGATGATTTTATCCCAGTCTTTACGTGTAGTGTTACATCACCTGTTTTAGAGGTATTCGACACCAATATTTGGTCTTATTGGTTCACTTTTCTTTATTTTTCTGTTACAAGTACGAAGAAATTTTATTCATATTTTAAATACCTGTAATAAACTGTGGATAACACTAAGAGATATTATTTCAACAGTCTTACTCCGTTTTTGATGGAATCCCTAGAAGCTGCGACACACTGCACATAAAAAGATCCAAATTTCTATCACAGATTTTTTTACATCACTTCACTACTAGATTGGTAAGAAGCAAGAGCTTGAATTAATAAACAGATCAGTCAGTCATTCGCAACATAGAAACTAGTGAAAGTGTACACTAGTTCAAGTAATCACACATTCACTAGGCGACATAAATTATTAGAGTGAACCTCAGGTCAGTGGATGCATAAAACTTTAAGGCATCACAGATATGATTCAAGGGAATATAAATTAGTATAATAAAAAGATTATGAAGTATTCAGACCTCATGACTGAAGGCAGATGTCATCTAGAATTAATAAATGCTAACAAAATTGTTGATTTTATTCCTCCCCAAAGGGTTTATTGCCTTTTGGTGAAAATTATCTCGAGATTTACCCAAAGTTTACATCTGATTCACACAAAAATTGTAAAATGCATGTACTTTTCTTTAAGTTAAGACTATTCTTTATATCATTCAACCCTGAACATTTTACATAGACTGTGTATTCAAAATAATTAAATATTGTTTTCCAAAATCTGACTAACATGATTTGAGAAACAATCCCAGTTTCACAAAATGAATATGTTAATTTCCTTCGATATGCATACATTAACTATGTACCACTATTGTCACCATAGTTACACAAGATGTAACAAACAAAATTCCTCAATAATCGTTGTCTATGTTTTATAAAAATCCAAATCATTCGAGAAAGTCTTTAGTATGTAATATTGATTTGTCCTATCTAACAACAGATTTCATCATTAAATGACATTGTTGTAACGATCATTGGAAACCAGAAAAGTATTAGACACTTATTCTGTTTTGGTTTACTATTATCAGTGAAAGTAAATGCTGTATTCATTATCGTCATATTCGATGACGAACGAAAAATGAAATAAATAAGAACTAGAATATGAATATTCTTGAATACATATTCAAGTACTTCTATTAACTACCAATTACGGTAGATATAAACAGTCATATTATAATAGATAGTACTAGCTTAGTGATTAGTTTTTCTTTCTTAAGCACATTTGGTGTTTCGACAGTAAAATAGCTTTAAATCAGATTACATGTTGGATAATTTAATCAACCTATGAGAATTCATTCAAGACACATAATCTAATAGTAACTACAACAAGCGAGAAGAACCAATCCTATTTCAGTTAGTAAATCATAAGCAAAATAGAAATAATTTAATTTTACCTCTAAATATATCTGTAACGGCTTAAAACAAGACTGATTTGTTAGTATTGTAACTTGAATTGAATGTTGATTACTACCACTGATATGATTGCGTTATAACTAATACCTCCTAATTATTGAGATGAAACACGACTCCTATAACGACAGAATGAGTAAAACAGGACTGTAGAAAATTATTGGATTGTTCACCAACCACTGATCAATAAGACGTCTTCAATGGTAATACTTATTAGAAGAGGAAGAAGAAGAAGAAGAAAGTGCAGACATTTTAAAATTTTCGGTCACCCAATAGAAATGAACTTGTAGTTAATCAAGAATGTAATAGGTGAACATAATTGACGCAATCAATAAATTAGCTGATTTTATTGAGTTATATAATTCATCATTTAATTATATACTTGTTTTCTTCTTAGCATTTTCCTCTTCAAAAAAACAGTCTGAACCTGAATTTCACTTTGAAAGTTAGTTGTACCTCGATCTTCTTGTGTCGAATCGCATTGATTCTACTAGATGTCTTTTCAATATTAGGGTGTCTGTGAGGTAAATAGGATTGGTGATTCGGTATAAATTGTCTACGAACCATGGGGTTATTGGTTTTCATTTATAATGTGCCAATCAGTATACTGTGTGCTCACGTCAGAGGTGCATACGTTCAGTTAGTTTTTTATCTGATCCTTGCAGCTCATCTGACCTTTACTTGATACATCAGTGACTCCCATTTCTTGACAGTTATTTCATGAACCTAGAGACGTGTTGTGAACAATTGTCTATTGTGTACCACTTGTTTCCCGGTGTATATCTAGCAACTGAGTTGGTTGAAAGTTGTTACGTTCTTTGAAGTAAAGCAATAAAATCCATTCTTAACTTCCATCACCTTAAATATTCTATTGTTAAAACTCTTGATTTCGTCTCTGGGTTCCGGATGTTTCTTTATATAAAGAGAAACTCTTGAGAAATCTCATCCGTCGTTTCTTATCCACGGACCTTGATAAATGTCCCCTTACATGTATCACTAAACTTATAGATTCATTTTTCTCTTAAGAAGATGCATCTAATCCCGTATCAGATTTCAACTTCAAACAACAAACTTCGTCCCTAAAATATTTACTAGTTTTAAAAGTTTTTAGGTATTGGATATAAAACTTTTGGTAAAATCACATATGTTGATTGCCTCCAAATTGGATAGAGTCAACTCTCTTCGAAATGCTTCCACATGGCCACGCGTATGCAGCCACTGTCATGGAACTCCTACTCACAGCCTTCTCGTGTGATTGCTGTTGTTTACAAACTTGAGATGACGAAAAGCGAATATCCGGTGCTTTAACCGGATTGATGAATATAGAGGATCCACGTAGCAGAGTTGAAAATCCTTGATTCTAAACTAATGGTGAACATGGGTTGGATCTAGGATTCTAAAGCAACAAATGGCGTATGAACCTATTGTTGTCCACCGGTTACCATGGGACTGAATCTTCTAACGTTTTTCTACTACCTTGTAGACTAGACCTTTAGGTCAAAAGCTCTGAGTGTGGTCCCCTGAGAAAACCACCCACGTCAGTCTGAGCACCCGTGCATTATCATAGCTCACATACAAATCAAGTGACTTGTGTGGCGCATATGCATTCCCTACCCCTTTGTACCGATATTTATGTGTTCAAATAAGTAAATAATCAACATATATTGATTTCAATTACAAAAATATTAATCAATCAATCAAAATTAAGACAAAAGTTGTAACTAACTGTATCAATGATTGTTCTACAATAAATAAAAGAAATGAGCCTAATAAATAACTATGTTACATAATTGTAAATGGCGTTATGTATCTTCTTATAAGGATATCAAGTTATTATGAATAGTTTAGATTTTATTGAGTAGTATAGATAAATACGTTTAAGGATGTTTGTATGATATGGGGTAAACTAAAAACAAACAGTAATACTTTAATACATAAGTTCTAGAAATATTTGAAGTTGGCAAAAAGGTCTTTTAAAAAGATACTAGTTTTTCGAGATTCTTATGATAGCTTGTTCTTTCTTTCTTTCTCTCTCTCTCGATGTATACATATCTATAAAATATTCTAAGCAAAGATGGATAGTGGCTAGTCGTGGAATCCAGGATGGAAGTTTCGTTCTATTTGGAACTCGTCAGCTGGATGATGTACCTACATCTCAGAGTTGATGTTCACTCTGGAACTCGAACCAAATAGCTAAGTGGATAATGGGATGGTTTTTGTAATGAATGGCACTGAGTTCGAGTCCCAAAGTGAACATCAACTCTGAGATGTTGGTTCATCATCCAGCTGACGAGTCACAAACAGGACGAAATGTGCATCAAACTGGATCCCATTGCTAGCCACTATCCATCTTTTTTTATCATATTTGTGAGTTAAGGCAATAAACACAGTATGCACATATGTCAATGAGACTGATCAATTGCAGTCCTAAACATCAATGGGAATTTTAAAGTAAACAATACCAAGTTAATTAATCTATAAAATAGTTTTACAAAATTAATCATCTAACAAATACAAGTCGACCACGTTTATATTTTTTCCATTGATCAAAGTTACTCAAAACGTTAATATAATAAGTTTAATAGTAGTCATTATAATTGATATATGGAGTTTAATTGTTTATAATGTACATAAGCATATTCATTATCTGTAATTCATAGTTCCAATCAATAACAAATCTCACGAGGCGGGATTGTGGATACTCACTGTTGAAGAGTTCCACAACAGAACAAAACAGCTGTTCAGTGCTTCCAGGTTTTCCATGGTGGTCTAGCTTGATCATGATCTCAATTAATAAAATGATTATAATATCTATAAAATCCCCCCCTTCTGATATAAATCATAATTAGCCAATGAAATGTTAAGATGATTTAATTCCTTAGGTCATACTTTAGACGTATCAGATATTGAATGATTTCGATAAATCAGAACAAAGCAGAGTGAATAAATAATATGACATTGTATAAGCTTGATAAATACATAATTCTATAGAAAAATGATTATAATACAGTTAGTTGTATAATGATATATTGCTCTGTGGATGAGATTACAACGAGATAATAGAAAATGTATTGCCCTACACTTTTGTGAATTTGTCAAGATAAGAACATATAAAATTGTTATGACTTTCCTGTTTTCTGAAATCCCCCTTTGTCAATTGTTATGACAAGTCGTCGTTGATTATTATGATGACTGAGTTACAAATTGTGTTTTATCTAATTGTCACTGATTTATATGTTGGAATCATTTATCATTTATACTTGAATACAAGGAATTACTGCAATTTCTTTAACGTATAAGTAAGAACACAAAGACTGATATAAGTGAAGATTTATTAACCCTAAAACGAAAGTAATGTTGGGAAAAAAAGTCATCCTGACATATCCAAGCCGTTACCAGTGGAGTACAACCAGGTGTGTTGTGAGATATCAGCTCACTGAAGACAATGGTATATAGTGGCGCGACTTCGTGGATTGGTTGAAGTTAGACATTAACACCGTTGGATGCCGGCTCAGTGGTCTAATGGTTAAGTGCTCGCGCGTGAAGCCAGTAGGTCCTGGGTTCGAGCCCCGTGTGGTGCGTGATCGTGGATGCACAGTGCTGAGGAGTCCCATATTAGGACGAAACGGCCATCCAGTGCTTCCAGGTTTTCAATGGTGGTCTAGCTTCAACTGACTCATGATTTCAATCTGTGAAAATTTCTAAAAATCTCCACAAACCCCTTCTGATATCCAAAATAGTCTTGAATAACTGTGGATCTCAGTAGATAAATGATTCATGAACTAGTATATAGAATGTCGTTGTATTACCAAGATTATCATGTTGAATGTCATAGTTGACAGATATCCTTAAGTATGAATTGTAGTCATGATTATAATAATATGCTTTCAACAGAACAGCTTATCAGAGATATATATAACGGAAAGTTCATTAGTCATTTCCCCTTTTTAAGTCATGAACATTTGGATCTTAGTTATAACATAATATTCCAAGTAGAAAACATTGATGTAATGTGGACTAAAACTTCTAAAACTCCGTCTGTAGCACTCCTAGAGTTACTACCGCTCTCAAGACGTAGAAAAGGAGGATAGTTGAGCATGAGGTCAGCAACCCAATCCGGTAGAAAAAAATCTTTATAAAAAACTGGTGAGCAGCCTATGTTTATCCACGAGTGATAACAGGCCTAAGTAACTAAGTAGGTAAGAAATTCTAAACAACTTACTAATTAAAAACTGTCATTCGGACAGAGTATATCCAGCTGACAAGTCCCAAATAGGATGAAACGTGCGTCAAACTGGATTCCACTGCTAGCCACTATCCATCGTTGCTCAAAAAGCTTGTGACTTAAGGCTATATCGAGGCAATCCGCACTGGATACCCATATGCTAATTAGAAAGACTGATCAATTACAGTCCTAAATAACAATGGGAAGATTCAAGTAAAAAAATAATATCAAGTGAATGCCATTCAGACAGATTTATCTTCAAATTATGTATCTTTCAACACCTATGAAGTATGAGAAAGTCGATATTGTTGTTCAAATGATGTGTATATCTTACAATTAACTGATATTGAAGTTATTCCAAGAAAGTTTTAGTCAACAATCAAAATGGTTATACATAACTACTATCTCAAGATATATGTACCAGATGATGGGCTAGTGATAAATTCATCATATGACGTGTTCTTGAAGAAGGCCGTCAGTTTTTTTTTGTGATTTAACATGTTCACATGTATCTTGCTACGGTATATATTGTAGAATACAACCAAAATGTGGATATTATCCTTTCCATTGCATTAAATAAATAAACAGAAGTACATTACATCTATAATGGAAATGTAATTGAATAAGTGTATATCGAATGTTTTTCGATTTTCAGGAAAGTTTTCACCAGAATTATCCATGGAGTTTACTGAAAAGATTCACTATTTTGGTATCAAAGATTTGTGGAGATTGTAGTATTTTCACAGATTAAATCATGAACTGACCTTAGCTAGAAAACCATTGAAAATATCCAATAAATCGATGCCCATTTCGTTTTAGTACGAAATTCTTCAGCCACGGGCATCCATGACCCAACAACCAGGAATCGAATATAAAACCTTTGGTCTCACACACGATAGCTTAAAATCTTGGCCATTGAGCCTCTAAGCATCAGCGTTAATGTCTAGCTTCAGTTAATTCACAATATTTCTCTACCGTTTATCTAATGTCTGCTGTGAATAACTTTCACACACTCAACACGCATTGTACTTCACTAGAGGTTAATGGTTCACACTTGAGACCGAACGTCCTGGGTTGGATTCCCCGTTGTACGGTCGTAGATGCACACTGTCAAATAAACCCAAACTAGAATGAAACGGTCATCAAGCGATTTCAAGTTACCAACTAATTGAAATTGGCCAAGTTTAATTACAAGCAAAACATTTTTTTTTTAAAAAAATACTAGTGAGACTATAATATATGGACGACGTTTAAGCGAAGCTCAATTGGACTTGAGAATATCCACCTACTAACTAGGACCAAATGTGGGGCATTAAAGCAGTATGGAAAATTGGATCTCCAGTGTTCATCACGAACTGGCATAAATTAAAATGTTAAAACGCCATGAACGAATATCGCGCTAAAATCCGACCCCTATTATCTTATAACTGGTTGGTTCATCTATAGTTCCGTTTAAAATACTTTTTAATTATCTGTTACTCCTCGTGGAGTAGCATAAGTCACCCATCAGTTTGACTAGCGTTTTTTTAAGGGAGTTAGTTTTCTGAGGGATAGATTCGTTAACTCCATACTCAACCCTCCACCTTTACTCGAGTGTGGAATCGGAGGTAACTCTAGAAGAGCTACAGGTGGAGTTGGCTAAAATACTAGTCGATTTCATTTTGAGGTGTAAATCTTATACTGAATTCATTATTGTAGTTTTTCAATTTAATCGATTAAGAATGTACTTTTTTTTCTATCTGATATAAGTTAAGTAAATTGATGAAAAAATATTGAGGTTAATTTTATTTTCTTTACTTAAAAATATTTTGATTTTAGTAACCATAGTAACAAATTATTGGAATTAATGTAAGGTCATTTAAAAGGTTAATTAGTAAGATAAGTTTTAAATTCATTTGGTATTGTTTGGCTTGTATCTTCCCATTGAGGTTTAACACTGCAATTGATCAGTCTGTTATTGGCATATGTGCATACTGTGCGTATGCCTCGATATTACCTTAATTCACAAGTGATTTGTAAGCAATGATGGATAGTGGCTAGCAATGGAATCCAGTTTGATGCACGTTTCGTCCTATTTGGGACTCATCAGCTGAATATACCTGCAAATGATATCAAGTGAATTTACATTCACCGCATTGCACAAGCAAGTGGCTATCAGGACTCAGTAGCTGAGTAGATAACGCAAAAGCGTTTGAGGTGAACGGTACTGGAGTCGAGTCACAGAGTGTCCATCAACTCTGGGATGCAGGTACATCATCCAGCTGACGAGTCCTGAATAGGACGAAACGCGCGTCAAACTGGATTCTACTGCTAGCTACTATCCATCATTGCTTACAAAAAGATATGTTTTAATTTAATTTCTTTTTTTATTATAAATTAAATAAATCATTTTGAACTAGCCATTACAATGATTTGACTGATCTATTGTCGAATGATTAGGAGCCTACGCAAGTTAGATGGAAATAGTGTAATGAACAGTCCTACCTCGAGGTCAGTATTTAATGTGAATTAGTCCTTCGTTGCATCAAGGTATTATGGATACTTTGAAGATCGTACAATACAAAGGATATCATCACAGAAATATAATATTTTAAGTCGGTACAATCGGAAGTGTGATCATGACATCATAGGCTAATCCATGACGTACGATTAACCGATGCGTGTTGTTTGTACTTTGACCTTAAAAGAGATCAATGACCTGTTCGATATTTACTGACCCAGGTGCCGAATGATTTGGCTATGGTCCAGTGAAATTTCACTGACCCTACAAATACTTTATTGTGAAAAATCTCTGGATGTGTAGAAATTTATGCTTCCCAGTATTTTTGTATTGTACTGACAGAACGTAACTTCACTCAATCAAAATTTGTATTCTACATTATATTATATTATACAGAATAGTCAACAGCTTGATTGCAATCAACAGATAATGTATGATTTCTTCAATGGGTAATATAGTTCATTTCATTGTTACTTATTCACAGTTGTTTTAGTAGTAGTAGTAGTAGTAGCAGTAGTAGTAGTAGTAGTAGTAGTAGTAGTAGTAGTAGTAGTAGTAGTAGTAGTAGTAGTAGTAGTAGTAGTAGTAGTAGTAGTAGTAGTAGTAGTAGTAGTAGTAGTAGTAGTAGTAGTAGTAGTAGTAGTAGTAGTAGTAGTAGTAGTAGTAGTAGTAGTAGTAGTAGTAGTAGTAGTAGTAGTAGTAGTAGTAGTAGTAGTAGTAGTAGTAGTAGTAGTAGTAGTAGTAGTAGTAGTAGTAGTAGTAGTAGTAGTAGTAGTAGTAGTAGTAGTAGTAGTAGTAGTAGTAGTAGTAGTAGTAGTAGTAGTAGTAGTAGTAGTAGTAGTAGTAGTAGTAGTAGTAGTAGTAGTAGTAGTAGTAGTAGTAGTAGTAGTAGTAGTAGTAGTAGTAGTAGTAGTAGTAGTAGTAGTAGTAGTAGTAGTAGTAGTAGTAGTAGTAGTAGTAGTAGTAGTAGTAGTAGTAGTAGTAGTAGTAGTAGTAGTAGTAGTAGTAGTAGTAGTAGTGTCTTATAATGACCGATCAACCAAGACGGATTATTGTATATAGACTAACAGGTTTGTTTCTCGATGACTTTCCACATTTTTCTAATCAATCAAGACTCTTATTACATTCTAGATGTAGTAAATGAGAACTAAGTTGAGAACAACCGCTTACATTTGTTACTTGATTACTTGGTGAAATCGAATTATCATACTCGGATACTACATTTGCGAAATTTTCATTAATTACTTTCTGTTCCCGTTCTTCTCTCCTCGATATTCTCAACTCTCTACTGCCAGATATTCTATACCTGATTAACGGTATATACTACTTATATCGATATAAGTAGTAAACACTATACATCATCATTATTTGATTGATTCTTCTTTGAAATGTTCAATGTATTTTCTATTACAAGAAAGTATAAATCATGAAAGAACATCATTAAACAGATCAAGAAATTCACAGGTTTTCTGATTTGTATACAAATCAAAATACCATTCACTTGATCTTTGTTCATTAACTGATTTTCTAAAGTAATCAAATGCATAGAATAACATTCATCAATGGATGTACCTACAATTCAGTTAGTCAAGTGATATGAAAAAAACAACATGGTATATGATTTAGAAACAATCAGGAAGAATAGACAGTATTGGAAGTTACTTGTTTCCAAAGTTATCTGGGTAATTTACAATATACTAGTGTACAGAAGGAAGTCCTGATGCGGATAATCAATCTATCAGTAAAGTATGAAAATCATAGGATAAATACTTCATTTGCACATCTTCTATCAGTTGTCTTTTATATTCTTTATGATTCTTTCAATTTCTTTCTGGTCTCTTTTAGTTCAATCTTCTTTTCACAAGCATTCCACATTTGATTGGTGTTACATACTACTTACATCTGTTAATATAAGTAGCATATACTACACTATTACTAATTGAATTCAAAAAACTCTTTTCATATTCCCCTTTCAAATTATTCACTTAGTAAATTGGAATGATAGTGATACAGTTAGAGTTTTTAGTAGGACACAATAGTTTAGTGGGTTTATTGGTTCCATGGTACTTTGTACAAGAAAGAGATCTGAAGTAATTACATCTAATAGATTTCAATTCATAATAAAAAAAATATGTGTCTGGAATATTCTGGGATCATCAGTAATTTCGACAACAAAACATTTACCATTCACTTGATTTTGTTTTACTTGTATCTTCCCATTGTTATTTAGGACTATAATTGATAAGTCTCTTGTTGGCATATGTACATTCTGGATTCCACGGCTAGCCACTATCCATTTGTTTGCTTAAAAACATTTACCAGTTACTAGTTTTCAGATGAATAGATTTTATGAACATTTCAGAAGCCTTTAAGACTCTTACAAAAGAGGAAATTGTAGCGTACAGTTGTTTTTCAAAACACTTTACTACATGCTGACCATAGTACAGAAAAATATCTTTCTCTGTTTCGAATGTTTACAGCCTTAATCAACATGTATTGAAACTGAAATTCACTAGGAAGCTTCCTTTTTTCAGAATCACTCAACATTAAACATGTCATGTATGGAATAAGAATGAATTTCGCTGTGAAATTTCGATTCAATCAAGTAATATGCTTTTTCACTTTCTGACTACGCACCTCTTCTGATGCCTTCATTTTTTATGTGTTACGTTACACTACTTATTGATAGTCAGTAGTTTGAGTTATTATGCATTATTTCAATGGGTTTCATGTGGAATTGTATTGTTGTCATTTGATTGTTCATTGAATGGTAATCAATATCATGTGTGTCAAGTCCTTCTTAGTGTCTGTCGAATGCTATCGACCAGATCCAAGGTTTTCTGATGACTACTTCCAACTACTATTCTATTTCAACAGAGATGTATTGTGTTGTTAAATCTTAGAAAACTATTTATCTTGTCATTTTGTACTATTATTTCAATAGTTTAGATCATTTTTCCTGTTTATAATAGTATTTGCCTATCCCTAACTTCTTTTGTATTTCTTATGTGGTGTACAATTTGACATATTAGGCTGTGTATTGCTCACTGATTTACAGTACACATTATAATTTAATGCTTGTTTGCTAATTTAAAGGACAAACCTTTTTAGACCATACTGTATCAACATAATAAACACTTGGAAGCTTCATAACCCACAGTCTATAAATTCATAATATCTATGTTATTTATCATAAACAGGTTGAATAATCTTAGTCTTGACAATATAGTCTACCGAAATATTGATTGATAAGTATCACTAAATCACTTGCCTAATTTCTATTCTTTTAGCTTAACTTGTGATAAATAATGATTGTTTAAAGTCGCATATATTAAAATCCATGAGTTTTTTTATAAGCTTGTTCAACAAATTGTCCAAATGAGAAAACATGTGAAATGATTAGAAAGCTACAAACCCTACGCTCCTTTATAAGTATACTCAGCAAGCTGTTCAAATGAGACAAACTGTGCAATTTGTAGAATCGAATAATTGAAAACATAAATCTCCGATGTACATACACTTGTTCTTTTAAAATGATCAAATTGATGAGTGCTATAAACTTGAATAAGATTATAGTCGACTTCGTCAAGTAGTTTTTAAATGTTTTTTTATTAATGACCTACTGTTTGACATTGAGAAGTTATGTTAGTATAAGTAATGTGATGTGACTAAACTGACCAACCCTATGAAAAAGTCAAGTTCTATTGTCAAATATTTTTACATCTCGTTGTGATTACGATACTGGTCTGAGAAATCCCATTCAACATTGATTCATTTTTTTTATCAGTTCAGTTCCGTTCAGATAACTTTTAATAATTCTCTAGATCGTACCTAGTGTGTTAAGAACAATCTGATGTCTTGGTTATGGAACCCTATAACTAAGTCGGTTATTAGCTTTCCATTTGACTGGTCTTCCCGGTCTCCCACATTATTCGGACGTTCCATGTATCTATAAAAATTGTTGCTCTGGTTGTTAGGAGGGGCATCAGCCTCGTGGCTTTCGAAGGAACTTGGCCTTCACCATGAGGCGTCATACTTCTTCTAAATGAAGACCTTCTAACTCCCAGGGCAGAGTTTACATGATTTTAGTTATTTTTTCTGGTTAGCGTTTTTTTAGCGAGTTAGTTTTCTACAGGATGGGGTCGCTAAACCCATGCTCAACCATCCTCCTTTACCCGAGCTTGGGACTGGCAGTAATTCTAGAAGAGCTACAGGCGGAGTTGTTATTAGCTTAGTATTCTTAAATCTAAGTTCATAAATTCGATAAACCTAATTTTTACTTTTTTTTAATTTAAAATTTTAACTACTCATTAGTAACAAAATAAATTAACTTTAATTTTAGATCGATTTCAATGGATCATATCTGAAATTTAAAAGTATTTGAACATGGTACAATATTTGAAATACCAATGATTGCAATCATTACAAATGAGTTGTTTCCTCCATATATACATATTCAAATATTTAAAGACCAATGTATGGAAAACTTGTATAAACACATTCAAAGTAGTTACTAATCTGTTGCATAAATTACTGGTGTCTTTTTTAAATAATTTTTTTAGTTATAACTGTACTGTTGAAATCCAACTAGTAAGATATCTGAGTGAATGTTGCGTGATTACCAGATTATGCAATAATGAATTAAAATCCAAGTATCTAATAAGTACATGATTATTTCGATAGTTGAGATCATCAGTCAATTGAAGCTAGATCACCATGGAAAAACTAGAAGTACAATTTGTAAGTATTTCATCGGTGTTTACTGAAAAGCTTAGACATAATCTAATGTTATATAAGGTGATCAAATTTAGTTGAAAGTAAACCCTTAGACTTAGACTTCTAGCAAGTTGGATATCGTCAACCATGCGTATCTCAAATTAAGTCAACCAGTCTCAGAGTTTGAGACTCTATTAATAGAGTATTCAGGCTGCAAACGACTTAAGTCCCAACGATATCAAATTTTGCAATTCTTTGTGCTGATCGAATTCTGTCGACCAAGTTGTACTGTTGATACTAGTCTAAGTGAATCGATCTACAAGGACTAGAAAAACTGCGTTATTATTGAAACCATAATAATCAACTGATGTTCTACAAACTTTTCTTTCCTCTAAGAGTATTTTAGTAACTTACATGCTCGATTACTTATTTACTTACTTCCTTACTAATCTACTTGATTACTTACTTACTTACCTATATACTGAGCTCTTCTTTCGGGTTGCTAATAAGTGCTGTTCATTCCTTTGACATTTGCATCCAACTCCCAGTGCCATATGCCCTTTGATCTGCTTCTTCTCCGTTCGCCTTGAGAAATATGGTCTAAAGCTTGCTTCTTGATGGTGACAGATGATTTCCGCAATATGTTTCCTATTAATCTTTTGGGTGTTCTCATAATTCCCTCTCCAGAAAGAGGCTGGTTTCTCCCCTACAAATGAAGGTTATTAATAATGATGACTGCTGAGTGGATCTGAAGTGTCTTGAATATACATCCCACAATAGAATTCTCTACTTTATCGGTGATGGTTGTCATGTTTCACCAAGTTTCATTTTCGTACAATAAAGGTGTTTTAATATATGTGTTTATTAAGCGTACCTTCAGTGTTGCCTGACAGTTGTTCTGATTTGGAAATGTTCACCAAATCCTTGCGTTTACAACTGCATCAGATCCACCTTGTTCACTAATGATTCTCCTCAGGTATATGAAAGATTTCACATCATCCAGAGTTCTTCAATCAAATGCGATTGTGTTGGGGTTTTCTGTGTTGTATTTAAGTATATCGCTTCTTCCCTTGTGTATGTTGAGGCTTAGTGATACAGAGGCTGCTGCTACATTAGTTATCTTAATCTGACTTTTTTGGTGTGTAGGAACTAGAAGATCATGGTTGTCTGTGAAGTCCGAATAGTGTAGTTGCATACAAACTGTTCACTGTATCCCGTGCTTTCCCTCAGATGTCGTAGTCTTCATTATCTTGTAGTGACTCACGTTTATCACGAGAACACGACTGGTTTAATAAAAACAATTATTATTATAACCAAGTGTACCAGTGACTGTTTTAACGTGCTTTTGTTTGACTGTGCTAATGACAGCTATTTTGTGCT